TATATATATAATTTATTTAATTAACTATATATTTTATTTTGTTTTAAGGAAATAATGCTGTCATCAATTACTCACCCTCATGTTGGTCCAAACCCATTAAAGTTTTGTTTCACATGTCAATCAAGTGTGTTCGAGCATCCATTTGATTTGATGAGTTATATAATTTAATTAACTATATATTTTATTTTGTTTTAAGGAAATAATGCTGTCATCAATTACTCACCCTCATGTTGGTCCAAACCCATTAAAGTTTTGTTTCACATGTCAATCAAGTGTGTTCGAGCATCCATTTGCCATATTTGATGAGCCCTATTTAGATGTGCTGATCAATGTTTATATGTGACTAAAAGCCTAAATTATATGTTCATCGAATGAAGTGATCACATCTCTTCACAGGACTTGGATTAAACCACTCAAATCAAATAGATTTCTTTTACAATGTTTTTGAAAATCTTAATGAAAAAATGTACTTCTTGTACGGATTGACACACTGGGGGAGTTGAAATTATGGTCTGTGGCAATCCTTTGATTGTAGACTTTAAAGAAAACATAAATTAAATGTAGTGTCTAAAGACATTTTGAAACATCCTGTAACTTTAAATGGTACCTCTTGCGGGTCCACGTAGCAGTAGTGGTACAAGTACTGGTTATAGATGGGAAAGCCGGCCCCCATTCCTGTCACACTGCTGCCATAGAGGTTCTGACACATCATAAGCATGGGGTTGTAGTATGAGCTGGTGGAGCTTTGGGCCATAGGGTTCACTCCTACAATGTACACAATGTTTATAATGCCCTGAATCACTGCCATTATAGAACAGACAACAAGCACCACCAGGTAGAACTTCCTGCTGCGGAACATGTTTGTTTTGGAGAAGCTGGCTGCAAAGAACCCCAAAGCGATGATGAAGTTTATGGCAGCGACGGCAATCATGCTGGTCTTTGCCGAGTAAGGGGTCGGGTAAGAATTGTAGTAGCCTCCATATCCACTTCCGTATCCATACCCGCTTCCGTATCCATATCCACTTCCGTATCCATATCCACTTCCGTATCCAGGATAGCCGGAATGTCCAGATCCATAACCTAATCCATACTGCATGTCCCAAACCAGAGTCGAGGCCACACAGGCAAAGATTCCCAGACAGAGGATTATAACGGTTCCTACCATAATCTTCACAATTCCCGGAGGGGAGAACCATTTGTAGAAATGCTGTGGTACCTCCTCACCCACATAGTAAGATCCTGGAGCTGGAGGGTAGGGATCAAATTCACTCCTTGGGTCTTGGAAGCTCCCTGGTGGTCCAAAGCCATTGGAAGGTGGGGTGTACATCGGGGGACTATCGTAGGGTTGTTTCTCAAACATCTCTCAAAGACGTCCAGTGACCTGCTAAAAAAAAGCAGCAAATTAATGTATAAACATGAATATCATCACTCAGGTGTTACAGGCAGATAGAAAATGTAATAAGTTCCTCATTTATTGTTTAAGACAAGCTAAATTTATGAAATAATATTTTAAGACAGATCAAAAGACAAAAAAAAAAAAAGCATTCCAGTCTAAGATACACAATAGCTTTATGTAAGGAACAGATCTAAATTTAAGTAATTGTTAATTTAAAAAAAAAACTGCCTTAATTATTAAATAAAAAAATTATTAAATGCTTTTATTTAAAAAAATATTACATTAAAAAAATTATGTGAGTTTTATATAAATCATATGAATTTACACATATACCGTTCAAACGTTTGGGGTCAGTAAGATTTTTAATGTTTTTGAAATAAGTTTCTTATGCTCCCCAAGGCTGCATTTATTTGATCAAAACTAGAGAAAATACTGCATATTTTTTAAAACCATGATACATTTTTTTCTTCTTTCAGTATTCTTTGATAAATAGAAAGTTCAAAAGAAAAATATTTATTTGAAATATATATTTTTTGTAACATTATAAATGTCTTTACTGTCACTTTTGTGTATAAACAGGAGCTGCAATTGGATATTATACATAAATAATCATAAGCATAAATAAATACAAAATAGAAATTTATTTTTTGAAGGTTGACAGACAATCCTTGTGTATCCTGGAAAATAGGGCTGCCCTCAACTAAGGATTTTTCTGGTCGACTAGTAGTCGTTCATTTTAAGCATTAGTCGACTAATCGCACGTTTATTAATAAACCATTTAAATCATGATAATGAGCCTTTAATTGCCTACATAGCCTAATAAGCATTCAAGCGCACGCATAAAGCTTGTCACAGCACACCGGCAGAAGTAATGATGATGAATGTGTCAGGGAAAACCAGTAAGATTAAACTGCATTAACATTTTAATAATCTATTGATAAACTAGTGTTTTCGGCTTAAGAGATGAATTTGGCGACACTGACTCGTCATCTCCACAGTAGTGGATGCGCCTTCATGCAAGTTTCATACGGATTACATAATCTGAGATTATCTGTTTTTTAAGATTTGAATTGTTTCATTTGAAAGTAGACATTTCACTCTTTATAGATATATTTTTCATGTCTGTAAGGCAAGTATATATGGAGTTTCGCGCTCAAGTTCACAGAGACCGAGGCGGCAGAAAGCGCATCCTGTTTTTTTTCAGATTTGAATTGTTTCATTTGAAAGTAGACATTTCACTCTTTATAGATATATTTTTCATGTCTGTAAGGCAAGTATATATGGAGTTTCGCGCTCAAGTTCACAGAGACCGAGGCGGCAGAAAGCGCATCCTGTTTGCTTTCATTATTTTACAAAAGCGCAATATTTTGTTGTTATAGTGAGTGCACACAAAGAAACGTAGAGGCTTTACAAATTCGAAAGATGTATTACTCTTATCTCTTACTCTTATAGTATGACCAAAATGGCGGAGTATTTTAAGAGCAAGTGACTGCACCGGCGCCTCCATCTGTCATGCTGTGAGCACGCTACTGTTCAGCTTTCACACTCCTCAGACACTTGAATAGCGCACATTTTTCTAAATTAACATTAGATTGAGCGGCCATGTAAAGTTGCTACTACGTACATATTTTAGATATAAGCCATATTTGAGGTCGATGAATGATAGGCGAGCGTTTGGATGTAACGTTACTGTATTACTACAAAATCTAGCCGTTAACGATCTGTCCGTCACGGATTGCGTGACCTCACCACTTCCTGTGGATTTTTTTTTTCTGCGACTAAGCGACTAATACATTTTGGTCGACCAAGCCTCTTCTCGTCGACTAAAGTTTAGTCGACTATTAGGGGGCAGCCCTAATGGAAAACATAACAAACAGTATACAGGCTGGGAACAAGACAAGTGTGAGTAAATAATGATGGAATTTTCATTCATGGGTGAACTATCCCTTTAAATGTCTTAAGTCAGCACATCAGCCGTGACATCAATTAATACACAGGCCAAAATGACGTTACCCGAAACCACAAGCCTGAAATAACTGTGCTGTTCATCAGTGTGAGGTAACAACAGAGAGTAGAGTGGAGACATCGGCACCAGGGATCAGAGTCTGTCCACACAAAGCCGCTGTTTACAGGCCCGACCGTGGGAGTTAAACTCAATCTCAACCATTGTCCAGCACTGACTTTGAAATGCATAGATTTAAATTCTGGCCAAATACATCGTTTGTTTCATTTCAGATCATATGCTCCAGGGGTGAGGTCCCAAACAGGGCAAAACCAGACAGAATAGGCATCAAAAAGTACTCAACAAAAATATGTTATAAAATATGTCTAACACTATAGGAGGAAATATGTTGGTTACATTTCAACGTTAGCTGTACTTTTATGTTACCGTGAATACACATTTGTAATAAAATACAGCACAATCCACTGATTGATTTTTTTTTGTTTGTTTGTTTTTGCATAAAAAAAACAGGTGTGTCTTTTTGACACAATGCTCAAAATTGGTAAAGTTTTTTAAAAAAGTTTTAAAGTTAGATGTAATATGAAAGTCCTTGTATTGAAGTTTGGAAGTTGACTTTCAAGTTGATTTTTACGGTCTTCAATAAAATATAATAATTTAAATTTTTTAATATAATATTCTAAATAATTCTGAATTTATGTCTTTATACTTAAAATTGTAATGTCATGATTTTACTGTTTTCAATAAAATATCATATTTAAAATTATTTAAAATATAATATAAAATATATATATTTTACATTTTCTTAAATAAAAATTATTCAAATTTATAATGTCTTATGTTTTCAATTGTAATGTCATATTTGTAAATGTCTTCAATAAAATATAATATTTAAAATAATTTAAAATGCAATAAAAAAATATCTACAGCAGCATGCAAAACCACAACAACAGAAGAATGCATACTACACTTTCAGTCCCTGGCCAAGGCCTAGATAAAGCCATTTATCTGGTTACTATGTGTTCACCTACTCCCCGGCCTCCCCCAACTTCTCTCTTTTGTTATAGCAAAAAGTCAAGGCTGCACTCTGCATGGTCACCATGGTAATAAAAGCCTGAGGTAAAAAAAAAAAAAAAAAGGTTTGGATAGAAACACACAAGAGCTTCACTGTCTGGGCCGCTCCAGAGTGGAGGTGCCTACGTAGGCAGATACAATTGTAGTGATCAGGTGTCCTCAAGAGAATCCTTTCTTATTTACCAACACAGCACAGTTTTGATTTCATTTATGATAAATTAATGTAGAAGTACCATGGTAAAATGTTGGCATCACATCATAACACAATGGTACTTTAATATATACCATGGAATATACATGGTAGTACAAGGTATTTCAAAGAACGCTAGCATACATGACCGAAAACGTGGCATTACTGTAGTATGAAACTCTGTATACTGTATAAGTAAAACATTACCATGGTAAGAAACATGGTATTTCCATAGTATTTGTCCAAAAAGCTTGGTACTGTCGCAATATTATGCACAAAAGTAATATGGTATTTTTGAAGCAGATGATGAAGCATAAACTCTAGAGACACCAAAAGTGGGTTAGCTTGGAGCAAAGATCACAAAAGCTGTTATTGTTTACTTTGCATGTCTTAGTAAAAACTGCTGCATGCGTCTATAACACACTAAAATTAGTTTTAGTCACTCAACAACAATATTATATATTATACATTATATATATATATATATATATATATATATATATATATATATAAATGCTAAATATTTATAAATAATAATATTTTTATGAATATCTAAAATACATACAAATCTAAAATAAAGACAAAAACATTCTTTACCTTTTTGAATCTGTCTTCACCTGAAGAAATAAAGAATAAAGAATATTATTTTCCCAGATTTTTCTTCTTCGTCTTCAAATTAAATGTTCAGTTCGAGTTAAAAAAAAAATGAAGCAGGTGAGAGTAAAGGTGTATTTTTATGAATATCTAAAATACATACAAATCTAAAATAAAGACAAAAACATTCTTTACCTTTTTGAATCTGTCTTCACCTGAAGAAATAAAGAATAAAGAATATTATTTTCCCAGATTTTTCTTCTTCGTCTTCAAATTAACTGTTCAGTTCGAGTTAAAAAAAAATGAAGCAGGTGAGAGTAAAGGTGTTGGCTGAGACAGTTGTCCAGATCCTCTCTCTCTGTTTCTCTAAAGCTTTCTAGTCCACCTGCGCCTGCATGCACTGAAGCACATCTGCACGAGTCTCTCTGTATCAGACGATTCTCCAGTGCTGCTGACCCCCCTCAAAAAGATGTGGGTGGAAATGCGTGAACGGCTGTGAAAGTAAACTTCCTGCAGAACAAGAAGTTTACTCGATCTAATCTTAGGGACGTGACTCGTCCGCACAGTCTATGGTCCGCACTCTGCAGTTCGTCAGTCAAACCAGGTTTAATCCCATTGGACAAAAGCTGCAGAGGGCGGGTCATTCCTGTCATGAATTGTTTTATTAGAGCAGGGATGGGCAACTGGCGGCGGTGTCTTTTAGTACGGCCCGCTAGATCATATTAGGGTGCTTTCACACCTGTAGATCGATTGCTTTGTTCCGAAACA